TACTGTTAAAAAGTCCCCTGTAATAGTACCTTGTAATATTTATCATTAATGAGAATGCTCAGATCGGAATTCACGTGCTTTTTTTCCCACTGCGCATGCAGCCTCATTCAGCGTTACCATGGTAGCAGGGCCGAACAGAAGCTAAAGCCAGTAAACGGTGGAAAAGCAACACATTTCGCCCTTTTCGCTTTCACCTCGCTCTAATAATGAACAGCAGAGAGCTGTTCAGAGTTAATTATCTTCGCAGCAAAGGCTCGTTCTGCTCCTTAGTTTGTTTGCTGTCAATGTCGTAAGTGATACGTTCACGTGACGTTACCGTGGATGTGCGCATGCGAGTCATTTCAGGACGCCGGTTTGTTTACATTATTGACAGATTGGAGTCTGTTACTTAAACGAGTGTGACCCATTATGTTAGAGAGATCGGATCTCAGCAAAAAATCGGATTTGAGCAATGAGGCTTGTAATGTGAACGAGACCTTAGTTTTTGCGTTTTTTTCTGAGGTTTTGCACATTTTCCAGCAAACTTTATACTAAGTGACGAAGCAAATCAATGCTAAACATAGTGACCTATCAAATGTCTCACATCGCTTTTTTTCCTCACAGTCAGTAAATAACCTTCAGCGCAGCAAACCGTGGCGGTAAACAGCTCGAGAGCCGTGCTAGCCCAGATGGTTCATCGAGTTAGACACACTAGGTATGTGTATAACTGTAATAAAATGATTTAATGTATAGACATGTACTAACAATTAAAAGACAAATTCATTTGGTTTATCGTGCCATAGAGGTTCGGCAATCCACTGAACAGGCAACACAGAGAATGTGTCACTAGAGGGCGCTCCAGAGCACGTCAAACATGAATGGCTTTATGTGGAGGTTTTGAGCAAAATTATAGTTTGTGAATGCTGAAAGACTTTTATATAGAAAATTGCATTCATTTCCTGAACACAGAACAGCATAAAACATTTTAACACTGCTGTTATACTTTTCAGTGCTTTTGAACTCCAATTACAGGACTTTATAACAGTGCCTCATGTAAGTACATGATTTCAGTGAGCAAACCGCTTCACTCAGCCAGAACCGTGTAGAGATGGCCTAATCTGTATAGCACTGCACTCAGCCAAGGAGCTGCTCTGCTCGCCAACCTATCAGCACTGCGTAGCAGTAATACCAGCCAATCAGCACGCAGTAGCAGTAATGTCAGCCAATCAGCACTCAGTACATGGTGCATTCCAGTCTCCCTCCTAGTTCCCAGCACAGAGTAATCAGACATTTTAAGGGTGATTCCAAACCACAGGGAGTGAAAACGTAATTGCAAGGGAACTTCAAAGTGCACAGGGAGTAGTGGACAACGGTTTATCACTTCACAGGAAGCTGCAGGAAAGTTTATGTGTTTGATCATGACACGGCAGGACGTTCAGAAGGAAGGTATTTATCCACTGTTGTTCCCTTAACTGACATTCGGTGCTGAAGTGTGTAGGGAACATAAAAGTACTGCTTAGGGACCATGTGGAGTATAATGCAGCTTCAGTCAATCAGCACTCAGTAGCAGTGATGCCAACCAATGAGCACCCAGTAGCATCCACAGCCTAAAACCTGTTTGCAGAGGAAAAAAGGAAATATACAGATAACCTTTTTTTGCTTTTTTAGTGAAATGCATCCTTCTACTTTCCAAAATTAGAGACAGGTCCTGAACAAATGGTTAAAAACTATTTTAATGTTTCCTTTTAAGCCGTTTAGCCCCATTTACCCCCCATTCATTGAGGACTCGCTCACGGGCGCCCTCTGGCGTTCTGCAGTATGTGGTTTTGGACGCAGCCACCCCCCCCCACCCCCCCCTCCTATACTATATTCCTGCAGAACAGGAGGCAGCAGTTTCAGGACCGCAGTTTCAGGACTGCAATTCCAGGACCATATGTTTTTGCGACACTGCCCCCTAGCGAAGTGGATGACCAATGCTCCTTCCTGTCTACATAACTACAGTTTTAAAGGCTTATTCCACCCAAATACTACAACTTTATCTAATTTATAGTTTTAAAGGCTTGTTCCACCCAAATACTACAACTTTATCTAATTTATAGTTTTAAAGGCTTATTCCATCCAAATACTACTTTGTCTCATAATGAAACTTTTATTATTTTTTAGTTTATTAAGAGTTGCATTTTGTTGTAATTGTGTAAAATAAAGATACAATCAATTGCACATATTGCTTTTACAGTCACAAAATCTCAACCAGATATTTGAGACACAAGAAAGGCTTTGGTGCCATAATATTTATTTAATATATCAACAATAACAACCAACAACATTCAACAAGTAAGATATAATCCCCCTCAATCACACACACAAAAAAAAGCAAATGGGTTATTTAAAACTGGGATGGTTTCTCAACCATCGCAGAGATGCGAGAAAGATGCGAGAAAACCTAATGTTATTGGCATTTGATGTTTCAATTTCAATACTCAAACCCCACTTTGTGAATTAAGTTACAGCACTACCTACCAATGGAATGGTCTCCCTTCTTTCTTCAATTGTTTATCTATCACTCTGTTAAATTCCTCCACTTCACAGAAATAGTAAAAAGACAACATAACCACTGCTCACTTAACAGAAATAACTTTCATGGTACATTAATTGACGTTACTACTTTTTAATTTAAAGAACTGACCAATGTTTTATGCCGTTATGTAAAAACAATTACATTCTCTACTCTTACCCGTGTTGATAAACTGGAGCACAGAGGAAGACCTGCTCAGCCTGCTGCAAGGATAAATTCTTCAGCACAGCTAGGCCATATATGATGGCCTACCAAAGGAAAAAGGATCATTTTTAAACAATATTTTTTAAATATACTGTTATACCAATACAGAATACAGAACAGCAAGTCTTTGTCATAGGTCATAGGTCTGTAAACACCTTTTGATATAATGACTATAAAGAATGAACACCACGTATAGTGGGGTAAACAGAGAGTCAGGACAGTTTAATTAGTAAGATTATTTAAACTTAATTAAATGGTAGAACAGTAAGTATTAAGTATTTACACTGAAGACAAACAGCTATGCTGATTTAATGCAGTGGACAGACATATACGGACATTCTTTTATCGTCTTTTGAGTTCTAATTAATGTGCTGGGTAGAATTCATTATCATAACCATTACGGTAACAATTAGTATATGATACAATGCTAGTTAGGCTCGCCAAAACGGCGCTACGGTTCCAAAAAAGCAGGCTAACAGTTCGTTTTGAAGCAATCTAGCTAACAGATAACTGTGTATAGTGCCTTGACTATGTAGTTAACTTTGTTAAAAGCAGGCTAACAGTTCGTTAACTTTGTTAACTACATAGTACGTACTATGTACGTTAACTTTACTGTCTAATTCAAAACACCAGAACGTTCTAACGTTAATTATATAAAACTTGATTCACGTTCTGTGCTCACACTCCGACCGTCATCATCCATCTTTTCCACACGTTAAATGCGGTCCGTGTATCCACTTCGCTAGGAAGCAGTGTCGCGAAAACATATGGTCCTGGAATTGCGGTCCTGGAACTGCTGCCTCCTGTTCTGCAGTCAGACCCTACTCACGCAGTCTGGCACTGTTTCTGTATGAGAGAACGACACCTCGTGGATGATTTACACACTGCACACATATGTGCTTTGTTTTTCTGGGCGGGTAAGCTACGAGTTATCACAGACCATAGGCCAGCACTGAAGGAGGTATCCGGTGGCCGTTCTGGCATGCGTGCGAGCCGTTGTTGCTACACAGTGAGTGTCACTCCTGAACCCCCTCTAGCGGATGAGTACGTGCGGTAAACTAGAGTGAACCAGGAACATTCCGCACTCAGTGGGGACGTAGCGGGGACCGAGAGGTGTCTGGAACAACTTCGCTCTCACTTTCGAGGACTTTCTAGCCTTTCTCTGGTAAGGCGACACGCCTGCGACCCTAAGGAGTGAGCTGTTCTCGTGAGCCGTGTATGAGAAATTTAGGTGTGTGTTTAAGCTCGCACGACATCACGTGGGCTGTTTGCAATGTAACGTTATAGGGCCTATAGCAGAACACAGTGTACAGTACAGCATGATCTCATGTGTTGAATTAGCTTTAACTCTCCTTTTGTTCATTTGGGTCCAGCTGGATTTAGACGAGGACTGAAGGTGCTTTTTTCATCACATTGGGTGCTAAATAAGCATTGGGGCTTTTGATATGCACACTGAAAAAATAGTCCTTTGAATTGAAATGATTCAAATATGCCATGAATAAACATGAGAAATGTGTTAGACCGACACAGTTATTTCTCTGAAATCATGTGCAACCAGTTGCCACATTTGAAGCTTTTTTTCAGTGTACACTGATGTGTGGACCTGCACAGTTGTTTTTCTGTGTGTTATAGTATTTATGGTGTTGGATAACTTATAATCTTGGTGGGTGTTCAGCTACAAGATACAAGCCTGTTGAGTAACTAATGAGACTGATGTGCTGTTGTAAAGCTGTACTTTCCACTGATGTGTTCTGGCGCCAGACAATGAGATACGTGCGCCTGGTTTAAACAAGAATGAAGGGGAGTGACCCCAACAGAGTGAGGAAATTGGCAGACAAAATGAGAAGAGGGGTTGAGCAACACGGGATCTGTCTCTGAAAGCTTAATTTCATACAGTCGGGCATAGTTTATGATATTTGACTAATAATGTGTCTGCAGATTTGAACTGAGTGACCCCGTCCACAGCGCTGTGATGATTAAGCAGGGGAGAGGAGTGAACTGTAAACATGTAGAAACTGTAAACTTATACAGCTAAATAACGTTATAAGCCTTCTGTTTCTCCAAATGTCTTCACTTTTTCCTATGTGCTCTTAAACACTCATATCAGATTCTGTTTTGTCTTTTGTATTCGTTCTCCTCCAGAACACAAGCCTGTTCTTCGCGTTCTCGGTATTGAGAAACACCCACAACAGTTCAACCAGTTAAGCTCCAAGACACTGTTAGCACTTCCACTTCACACATCCTAAGTCTTGTAACTAGACTGCAATTATTTTCACATTTCGTGCTCAGAATAGTTAATAATAAGCCTTAAGTGTGGAAACTGGGCTAGTCGAAGTGTGGAGGGCAAGGCTGCTCCAGGAGTAGGATGGAGAAAACAGTGGGGTTGCGTCCAAAACCGAACCGCATACTGAACAATATGTCAAAGCAGTGCACTATCATGACTGGCACGTTCTAGTTCAGTATGTGGTTTTGGACGCAGCCTGGCACTGTTTCTGTATGAGAGAACGACACCTCGTGGATGATTTACACACTGCACACATATGTGCTTTGTTTTTTTGGGCGGGTAAGCTACGAGTTATCACAGACCATAGGCCAGCACTGAAGGAGGTATCCGGTGGCCGTTCTGGCATGCGTGCGAGCCGTTGTTGCTACACAGTGAGTGTCACTCCTGAACCCCCTCTAGCGGATGAGTACGTGCGGTAAACTAGAGTGAACCAGGAACATTCCGCACTCAGTGGGGACGTAGCGGGGACCGAGAGGTGTCTGGAACAGCCTCGCTCTCACTTTCGAGGACTTTCTAGCCTTTCTCTGGTAAGGCGACACGCCTGCGACCCTCGGTAGCGAGCTGTTTTCGTGAGCCGTGTATGCTAAGTTTAGGTTTGTGTTTAAGCTCGCACGAGATCACGTAGGATGTGTGCGATGTATAGGGCCTATAGCATAGCGGAATACAGTGTACAGTACAGCATGATCTCCTGTGCTGAATTAGCCTTAACTCTCCTAATGTTCATTTGGGTCCAGCTGGATTTAGACGAGGACTGAAGGTGCTTTTTTCATCACATTGGGTGCTAAATAAGCATTGGGGCTTTTGATATGCACACTGAAAAAATAGTCCTTTGAATTGAAATGATTCAAATATGCCATGAATAAACATGAGAAATGTGTTAGACCGACACAGTTATTTCTCTGAAATCATGTGCAACCAGTTGCCACATTTGAAGCTTTTTTTCAGTGTACACTGATGTGTGGACCTGCACAGTTGTTTTTCTGTGTGTTATAGTATTTATGGTGTTGGATAACTTATAATCTTGGTGGGTGTTCAGCTACAAGATACAAGCCTGTTGAGTAACTAATGAGACTGATGTGCTGTTGTAAAGCTGTACTTTCCACTGATGCGTTCTGGCGCCAGACAATGAGATACGTGTGCCTGGTTTAAACAAGAATGAAAGGAAATGAGGAAATTGGAAGAGACAAATCAGATGAGAGGTTGAGCAACATGAGATCCGTCTCTGAAAGCTTAATTTCATATAGTCATACACAGTCTTCCAATATTTGACTAATGATGTGTCTGCAGATTTGAACTAAATGACCATCCACAGTGCTGTAACGGTTAAGCGGGGAGAGGAGTGAACTGTAAACATATAGACTGTTCCATGGTGGTGTTGTAAGACTTTCTCATTTCTGAAAGTTATTAAAGAAAAATGTTAAAGTTGGACAGTCTTCTGCATCCTCTCCTCTTGGACAGTCTTCGTTCTGGCTGTTCCCTGCTGAGAATTATGTTGGTTTCTACCATAAGTTAGTAATGGCATTTCGTGTATTCCTGTTGGGTTGATATCACAGTGTAAAGGACTCAAATTGTTTCATAGGAAACTATTAAGCCAATTCCCATTAGAAAGCAACTTTTAAGGTTTTAATCCTTATAGTTCTAATGATCTTTTTTGCTGCAGGGTAAGTTATTCAATTAAGAGTGAAATCCTGTCTTATGAAGCATCTCTCAAAGTCATGGTGACTCAGCAGTAACTCCCCAATGCTAAACTGGAATATTTTGGCTTAGGAAGCGGCACGTTTGACCTTTACAGTACTACACGTTTGGCAGCCTTCCAAACAGATGACATGCAAGACGTTCAAGTCTCCAGAGGAACAAGAAGCGCATGTTATGGCATGCTGGTTGTAAACTGATTCACAGAACATGAAAGCTGCATGGCTTTGCTCACATTGGCTCTAGTGTAAAGGAGCCCTACTCAGTGTTCTCTATATCTTCATGCAACAAGCTTTTCTCTTTCTTTTTTCTCTTTCTTATTTCTAGATCATACTATAGGACCATGGCTGCAGCGTTAGCTTCACCTCTGGCTCCCATTAGAAAAGGCAGAGTGTTTTTTTCTTTAAACTCCTACTTCCACAGCAGCAGTGGACTGGCCTCCAAAGAGCACTACAAGATCGTTGTGCTTGGGGGTGGAAGTGGCGGCATTACGATGGGCGCTCGCATGAAAAGGAAAGTCGGTGCAAAGAATGTGGCCATCGTGGAACCCAGTGAGGTATGTAGCCTAAGGCCTCTCCAGTATGACAGAGGTAATTCAGTAGTTACTACATTTTAAGGTTTATTTGAGGTTTTCATAGACTGTATTAACTCAATAAAACATGCAAGGTATTTATTTTCTTAAGAATTTTTTTAATACGTGGACTAAGTAAAACAATACACATTGAAATATATTATTTCAACTCAGTTTTGCTTTTCAGTTTACTTTTGGTAATACGTATGTGGATGTAATATTTTTTATTTAGGTGGAAATTATATATACATCTGAGTCAAGTAAATTGAATGCAGTACTTTCGTGGATGTTGATCAAATATGTAAAAGGATGGGCAGAGACTGGGCTGTAAGTGAATCAATTTATTCAGTGATAACAAGCACGTCAATCAGGATTACTACGAAAGAAAGGAGAAATATGGTAGAGGTTGTATGGTCAGTGTTATAATGTGTTATAAACAAATCTGTAAAATTCTTGTAGCATTAAAAGGATCTTTTAAATAAAACTTTAAGTCAGAGGGATGGAATAAAAGTGAATTAAGAGCATATATATATATATGCTCATAACATGATAATTAATGTATGTATGAGGTGCAGTAATAACTAATTTCACTTTGTTTCAGATGCATTATTACCAGCCCATTTGGACATTGGTTGGGGCAGGGGCTAAAAGCATTAGCTCATCTGGACGTCCCACTGCCAGCGTGATGCCTTCTGGAGTGAAATGGGTCAAGTCCAGGGTCACGAAGATTGACCCTAAGAACAACACTGTCTCCACAGACTCTGGGAAAGAAGTAAGCCCTTATGGGATTAAACATCTAACTCTGTGAGTGACCAATGTTACACATGAGCCAGATATCTTATCTATGTTACTGGCGATGCGATTGCCAAATTCATGTGGTTAAACAATAAAGACTGTGTGTTGTTTCTGTAATTACATAGGTGTGGCTGGTCAGCAGGATTATTTAACTTACTGGAATAATGTTGGAAGGGCAATAGGTCATAGACATAAGATTTAACTTTGTGCATACATTTTTCAGTTAATAAAATGTTGTATGTTCAAACTACATGACACACATGTAAATGATTCTATGGTCTGTCTTTTTTTAGCTTTCCTATGACTATCTGATCGTAGCTCTTGGCCTCCAGCTTCACTACGAGAAGGTAACTTTTGTACACTACTTGTAAACTATTCATTTAAATGTGCAAAAGTATGTCGTGTAGGAATCATTTTTTTCATAATCTGGTCGTTTCTGGTCTTTCAAGCGTCTAGATAATACAAGACAAACTTTTCCCATATGAGGGTCTGAGCCTGTATAATTGCCCTTTTCCTGTCTGCTAGTGTGCAGATGTGGTATAGTGTGCAGATGTGCGTATGTTTATAGAAAGGCTGGGCATTAAACAGTAAAGGAAGTAAAACTAGAATAAGAACACCATCGTATACCATGATATAGTATAAGCACTTATCCTTTAACACTACATTATGTGTTCCCAAAACATGCCAGTTTTGCTTATGACCTCTCTTACTTTTACTGGTGAGTGACTCACACAATTATTATAATACGTTTGATAAAAGTTTTTTGGACAGTGAGAATCACTTCTGTCTTGTATATAACTCATTTTACAACTCTTACAACATTGGGTGTGACATTGTGTTATGACATTAATTGTATAATCACTCAGTTAGAGATTTGTCAGGATGTGAATTATGGGCCAATATCATTATTGCTATATACATATCTGCTGATGCTGATACTGATACATAAAGATTCATAATATGTTGGAATTGGGACTAGAGCTAACTGGGATTGCATTAGGAGCAGGGTTTTCAGTGCTAGTTAGGAGATACGTAACATTTGTATCTGTAAGGTTACAAATGCAATAAAATGAATAAAATGCTATGATAGTTTTGTACAGTAGCCCAGCATTGCTTAAACATCCTGATTTTCCAGAATACAATACATACATAATCAAATATCAGTTTGAAATATTGGTGAAATTTAAACATTTGCCTGATGCTGATAATTTGTTTTTTAAGCAGTTTCATTTGATACCAGTATGATTATGATCAATTCGTTCTCCCTAGTCAACATGTACATCCAGAGTAACAAATCTGACCAGTGTTTTAGCATCCCTCTGCAAGAACACCAAGCTCACTGATTTAAGAACATAATCAGAACAGTGTTTTTTTTCACATCTGAAATAAACTGATTTGCTTTTATTGAATGCCAGATCAAAGGCCTACCAGAAGGGTTTCAGCATCCTAAGATTGGCTCAAACTACTCACTACAAACGGTTGAGAAGACGTGGAATGCATTACGTAACTTCAAGGAGGGAAATGCTATTTTTTCTTTTCCCAACACTCCAGTGAAATGTGCAGGGGCTCCACAGAAGATCATGTACCTTTCTGAAGCCTACTTGAGAAAGGTGCTTATACATATGTGTATGTTGTCCTGATTATACACGTATTATTATTTGCAATTCTTAAAATGTTCAGAAGAAGATTGTTGCTAGAGATGTTACATGAATGGTATTGCAGCCCTTATGTTAAATCTAAACGATAATTAAAGTAGTGTTTATGTTAATGGCTGCATTTATCGATATATACAGTTGTATGCGAAAGTTTGAACACCCCCAGCCAAATTACATGTTTTGTTAATTTTCAGCAGTGAAGTGAAAATAATTTAACACATCCTCTACAGGGAACACACATAGATGTGGTTTTCTGCATATTCTAGTGTGCAGTTTCTTTTAATTTGTTGAGTTTAACATATTGGAAAAAATAAAATATAAAATATGCCTTAACCTTTGCACAGATCACATTTTCTGTTGTACTTTTGCCAATTTCATAAATTCAGCAAATAACTTAGTAATAAGTAATTGTGCATTAAAATGTGCAGAAGTGTGTTCTCTGTAGATGATGTGTTATATTATTTTCACAAAAAATGTAATTTGACTGGGGCACCCAAACGTTTGCACACAACTGTAGAAAGTGGTTGTATTTATGAATGTATAAATGTAGTGATCCTTTTGAACTGGAAATTACATAATATTCTGAAATGTTTGCCTTAAAAGACAGGAAAGAGGTCCAAAGCCAACATTATCTACAACACATCATTGCCAGTGCTGTTTGGAGTTAAGAAATATGCTGATGCCTTATGGGAAATTGCGAAAAGTCGGGACTTGAATGTAAACCTCAGACACGACCTCATTGAAGTCAGACCAGACAAACGGGAAGCTGTATTCGAGAACCTTGACAATCCTGGAGAGACTAAGGTTTTTGAGGTAAAGAGGAGCCAATTTCTTGATTCTGCTGAAGGGTCAGTATGCATTGGCTCATTGTCCTGTCTTGCCCGTTATTAGTACGAGATGCTCCATGTTACCCCTCCTATGGGTCCACCTTCAGTGCTGAAAGGCTCCTCGCTGGAGGATGCGGCCGGCTGGCTTGATGTAAATAAGGATACCCTTCAGCACAAGACGTATGACAATGTTTTTGGAATTGGAGACTGCACCAATGTACCAACATCCAAAACTGCAGCTGCTGTGGGTGAGCCATATATGAATGCTGCTTGTGCTGTGAATTCATCATCTAGTGTATCTTGTTTATTTGATGCTAATCAGTATCTTTGTTTTGTCCTAACAGAAAAGTCACATATATTTGTGAAGTGTGCAACAACTGCAAGTTAAAAATAATCATGTTTTTACATGTGTGAACAAGTTTTTTTTACATGTAATCACACATGTAAAGTGTGTAAAAACCATGTGTTTTATTCACATGTGAAACCCATGACTTTTCTGCAAGGGTGCCTGTAGATTTTCAGATGAGGATGATACTGCTAATAATGTCATTTAATAGCACACAACTAAAATCTTTCCAGCTCAGTAGTGGCTACTTCTTGAAAGTTTTTTACGTCTCCATGACCTGAACAAGCTTAACTACTGCTGCACAGTGGTACACATTAACTAAATGATGAGTCATTAGAAGAATGACATCAAGTTACTCTTTTCCAGCTGCACAGTCTGCTGTACTTGACAGGACCGTTACCAAAGTGATGAAGAAAGACAAGCCTGATAAAAAGGTGAGCTTGATTTGGGTTGAATAGTAATTCCTTGACCAAATTTTCCTTAATTCTGGTTCTCATTTATTTTGTGATTAAGCAAGTCTTATTAAAATGCATTTCGAAACACGTGTTTCACTCACAGTACGATGGCTACACCTCCTGTCCTTTGGTGACAAGCTACAACACAGTTATCTTGGCAGAGTTTGATTATAGTGGACAGCCGTTGGAGACCTTCCCTGTGGATCAAGGCAAAGAAAGCAGAATAATGTATCACATGAAAGCCAACTTGATGCCCCACCTGTACTGGTATGGTCTTCTCAAGTGAGTACTGGTTACTTTGTTTTAAATTACAGAGGGCCTGTTTCAAAGCCATCTGTACACCCTGTATCTCGCCATGAGATCTCAGAGCTGTTAGCAGTGAGGGGTTTTGCTTCATGTGAAACATTTCACTGTTAGTGCTGCTTTGATTTGATTTGATTACCACTTTTCATATTCTTAGCATATCCCTGCTAAACAAGATTTGATGGTACTGGAGATTGCAAAAATGCAAAATAATACAATGCAAAAATATGGAGGACGGCCGTACAAATGTCAATAGCAAAATGTATTTCGCTAATAATAAATAATTACATACAGTAATGTGCACAAATTTTAGGCACCCAAACACATTGTTTCAAAACATTTATCTGGGCAGTTAGTGTGTTTTTGCAAGTAAAACACCATAGATCATTAGTATAAATGCAAATAAACACAGTATAAATACAGTAAAAAAGCAACAAGAATTTCTTATTTTGAAAAAAAATGTATGTAATATCTTGTCAGCTGGTTAGAAGAATAAACTTTGGTTCTAAATGTCTTCTAGACACCACTAGCCATCGGTTTTGTTAAACTCCATCATCAGCACAACTGATTTGACATCATAAAGTTTTGAATACAGGTGTAATGAATATAGTTAACGCTGTCAAAAGTTGATACAAGATTTTTGCAGGATCGTCTTCTCATGTGTAGAACTGTAAAATGTTAAAAGTTGGCACTGTACAAAAAACATATTGTTACTACAGTTACATCTCTGCGTTTATCCTAGCAACTGGCTAAGTATTATAATCAGCAATTGGTAGGTTTCTCTGATAAACAAGCTATGTGTACTTAATAAACTGTCAAATCTGTGCCACAGTAAGATCTGTCTGCAGATGGATGGACCCTACTCACTTAGTGTAGTATCTTACTATTGTATATTCTTTTGCTTTGACGTGTCGCAGACATGACCAAGTAGTAGTGCAGCTAGGCTAACCATGACAGCTGAAGTTTAAAAAGATATTTCTCTGTTCTCAGTGTTTCCTCAACAAACCATTGTGTTTCCACATCATCCACAGAGCACCTAATTTATCTTGTGTAGAAGAAGACGACTGCCCCTTATCTAACATTAAACTGCTCTAGCATTAGCTCATCTGCTGATTTACTACTTATTGTATTAATGGTATTCATATTTATTCTATTTTAATGTTAGTATCTTGCTGAGCAAATAAACTTACTGACCAGATACATTGCTTTTTAATTCTAATTTTCTTGGGTGCCTAAAACTTTGTATACAAACCTATATTAAGCAATCACCAGTAGCTCCACCTCCACCTGCAGTGCAAGATGTTTCTTGTAATGACAGACAGATGGGCAGTGTGAGGGTTGAGTGCAGGCCGAAATCCTTTGTTGCCCAAACAGTCTGACTTTTTCAAAATGACTTTTAAGAGTAAAGCCTAGTGTCATTTGCAGTGAGGGAAGAGCTTGAGACACGGCCAGACACTTCATGTCACCTATTGTAATTTTGCATAAAACATGATCTTCTTCATTGTCTTCCTCTAATGTATGTTTTTCTTTTTTTTAAAGGGGTCTTTGGGGAGGCCCAGGTCCATACAGAAAACTCATGCATCTTGGGATGAAATAGAATCTGCTAGAAAGCAAAGGCTTTCAAAAGGAATCAGCATCTCTAATATGAGTTGAACGCACATTCTACTCAACTTTGTAACATTGTTGGTGCTTTTGTGTGAGGATTGGAGGTCCATTATTATGATTATTTAAATGTAAAGGTTGGTTATTTTTTTCTGAAATGCAGATGTAGTGAGCATGTGTAGCTTAGTACCAATAAGTTGGAATAGAACCCCTTACTTACAACAAATTGCATTAATAATAAGCAAATTATTGCAGTTGTAAAATCAGCTTTGAGCTAACTTTCCAAAACAAGCATTTAAATTTTAGAAACTGAATGCTATAAATGTTAGATGAAAAATATTATAACTGATTTTTAGACGTACCAGTTTGTAATATTGTGCATCTTGTTCTATATGCGGAATCAAAATAATCTTCAGCAACGTTTCCAAGGTAATGAGTAGTTTTTACATTTTTACAACATAAGCACTTCATTTATTTTTACCACTCAGAGCATACCATTTTGCACTCCTATGTAAAGTCGAGGATTTATGGCTGTTCTAAAACTTACCTTTGGCCTGTAATGAACTGGAAAAGTGCAGATCGTGTTCAGTTGTAAGTGCCAAACAGGGTACATTTAATGGACCACCAGTTCCTATTCTCATTATTGAGGCGACAACCAGGGAAGTATCTCCAAGACATGCTTCCTCAAATGAACTGATATTATGGCTCCCATAGGGACCAATTCATTTTAAGTCGTCATCGTGAATGATTAAATAAAAGTACTTGTCAAACAGTTTGTGTTCAGACTGTGTTGTATCACATCTGAAAATGTGATTTGCAGCTTTGCTGCACTCCTGTGAGCAAGGTGGATGATGTCTTGGGCATTAGCAAAGGTGAGGTGTGTTAAGTAGTCACTTCTTGGTTACTCTAATCTTTAGAGCCTGGACATTGCTACTTACATATGGCTTAGATTGTCAGCAATTAGAATTGCAGTGGTTTGAGCACAGAAAGCCATGTTGATGAGACCCAGATGATGAGAGCAGTGTGCCACTGATTTAGTTAATGAAGGACATGATAATTAGCTAATGCATTGATCAACAGGGAGATGTATTGAATCAAGAGGGAATACTCTGCACTGTACAGTGCTGTGTCTCAAAGGCCGGAATTGAAAAACCCTGTCATTGTGTTCACATCCAAGTCTAATTTGGTCATCTTTCATCAAGTGCCAAGCCATGTCTAGCCTACTCCTAATTTTAACCAAGTTAAGTCCTAGAAGGACTTAACAAGTGAATGATGTAAATAACAAATGAATGATGCAAATACCTCTTTCAGGTATCTCCTCTGTTGGGGGCCACTTGTGGTTTAATGCACTTTATTCTTTGCAGAGGAGCTTTAGGAAACACTAACAGCTACTACAAATATAAACTCTGAATATATTTTAGCATATATGTATCTGATTTGCTTAAATATGAATCTGAATGAGAGTGTCTGACCCTGTTAACCCCTCATAAACCTTTGATCTACAAACCCAATTCCACAGTTCGGACAGTAGGTAAAATTCAAATAAAAATAAAGCAGTGATTTATAAGTCTACTTTGACCTGTATTTAAAGAAAAGCGGTAAAAGGACCAGATAGTTAATGTTTTTATTAATTTCATATTTTTTATAAATATATGCTCATTCTGGAATTGATGCCTGCAACACGTTCCAAAAAAGTTGGGACAGGGTCAATTTAAGACTAGGAACATTGTGAAATCTTAAACACAAACATCTTAAACAGATGATGCACTCATGCTTGGATAAAAGGAGCATCCAGGAGAGTCTATCTCTTTATGAGCAAGGATGGTCAAGGCTCACCACTTTGAAAAAAAATGCATCAGTAAAAAATCCAACAGTAAATAACGTTCCTTAGCCAGGGATTGCAATTTTTAGATATTGGATTTTAGGTATTTCACACTGTATTGTGCATAATAATATCTACAGATTCAGGGAATCTGGAGAAACCTCTGTGCGTAAAGGGCAAGGCTGAAAAACACAGCTGAATGCTTATGACCTTCAATTTCTCAGATGGCACTTGGTTAAAGACCAGCATAGTTCTATGATAGATGTTACCACATGGGCTCAGTAATACTTATATATCAATAATCACTGTCCATCACTGCAAGTTAAGACTTTTCTAACCATTTTGTGCATAAAGTGCTTTAAACGTCTGGTTCCTATCACCACCACTGTGAACAATTCTGACTCAATTAGTTTCTATTGAATGGAGCATGTCAAATCCAACCTCTCTGAATGACTTAGTTTATATATTAATTATATCAGAAAATTGGTGGACTTCCTGTATAAATGTGATGCTGTTTTATTCCTTGGCTATGTATGTCATAGTGACGTTTAAAAAATGGGACTATACCTTTTCTTCCATGATGGACATGTTAGTATTTTTGGATAAAGCAGGAATTAAAGCTGTTTTTATGCATATAATCATGTTTATTAAAAAATAATGTGTCTAATTTTAAGAAAATGAAAGAATATTAAATATTGAAACAAAAGTATTACATGGTTTAGACAGACTCATGCCTTAAATAATCCACTAGTCTGTTGTTTACAACTATATATATCATGATATACTAAATTTCTTGCTCTTTTGAAAGAGTGTGATGTAGAATGTTAACATGTTTAAAAACGTATTATGTAGTCCCCAGTTTATACATGGAAACTAGACCATTTTGAATTTGTTTTTGTCACGTCACGAAAAACAACATATTTACATATATGTAAACCCACCTATTCAGCCTACAGCAGTTTAGCCCCGCCCATTCACGCTGAAGTAATAAGGAGTGTTTCAGCCTGAACTGCTTTTCGAATTTGGCACAAAACCGGCCAGCCAATCAGAATTGAGCTCATTTACATATATCTGTCTTAAAGGAACAGTAACAGGAAAAAAGCCTGTTTAATTCCAAGGGATAAGGAGAGGCTGGGAAATGGTCATGTAAAAATGAATTACGACGGTTTTTGGTTAAATAAAACCACAAAAAGGTTCAAAGTGGATCTCACTGAAAAAAATACACAGACATGTAGTATATGTGAAATCTTTGAAACATAATGTATGATATAATGAAAGATTTCAGGGCACAGGTTTGCATAATTCATAGCTCCTGGTGCGTTTGTATGAGATTATCCAGCAGTCTGAAATGCAGGTGAAGCGGCTGAAGCTCCGCTCGGCTCTGCTCAAACTTTTGCTCATGCGCAACATGGTGCATTCGTTATCATCCGGGTTCTTTCAAGAGTGTCTCTGTGAGGAGGCGGGAAATGGCGTCCCGAGAAGCTGTAGGAAAGCTATCTGTCTCTCCGTGACTCATACTGGACGACGGGTGAAGGACAGAGGCTTTCACAGCGGTCTCCGCCGTTGTGGCTAGCTCCGCGGCCACCCCAGGACTGCACCGGTGTTAACACTCGGCATGTAAGTTAAACGCTGTGTTGTGTGCGGCGTGCCTTGCCAGCGTTCGCGCTATCATGCAAGAAGAAAAAATGTAACCGTACGCCACGGTGGTTGCAGTGTGGTTTGAAATCTCGCGTCGTCTTCACGCCTCGTTTATGTATCAGCACACGGCTTGATGCGCGTTCTGCAAAAGGGAACAAACCAGCCACGGAAAATATGAACACGTCCGTGGCTGCTGGTTGTTTCCGAATACCTGCTGTGAGATTTGTAACGCGGCTGCTGGCTGTACGGAGAGGAGAGGAGAGCTCCGCTCCGCTAACGACGCACCAGCGACGTCGCCAGACAGCTGGAATTTGAACAGCCAACTAATCGCTAGCCAGATAGCATTAGCTTTAGCTTTAGCGGCGTCGCTGGTTGCCGTTTGAAACGGAGGCTGTGGAGCTCAAGCGGTCACTTCGCCAGTGCTTTGTTGCAGTAACTTACTCACACCAGCAGTGAATGACAGCTAGCTAAGCGGATACTTTAATGACTCCTGACCACCACTTGGTGTCTTTGTTTTGATATCTTAATGTAGCTAAAGGCTAACGCGAGCTAATTTATCCAGCGAGCTAGCAAACTAGCACACGAGTCATATTTATTCATTAATGTCGCTAGCTAGCGGCGTTGGCTGCACACTTTTTACCACCGCCTTACTTCCACGGTCTTTTGTTTTTAGCACTGTTCCCTGATTCTTGTGGTTTGCTTGACAGTATTAAACTGGCATACTTTGCTACGTACATAATTAGCTTCAGGTTCAGAGAGGCGAGCTGCTAGCTGCTATCTAAGGAGACATGTTTCACCCCGCCCACTTTGCCCGCTGCTCAAGTTGTGGACGGTTGTGGGCTGGTTTCTCTTGTTATTTAGCTGTGGTAGGTGCCAACAACAACCGATACGTTGACCTCCAGAGTCATCAGTACACCTGTCAGATTTTGTGCTACTGGGTCAAGCGGTTTTTCTTATAGCCGTGTCCTCAGAACTCACTTCAAAGATACAGTTCACCTGACTGTAAACAAGACTCAAGTCAAATAGCTAGAGAAAATGTCAAGAAACTCACAATCCATTGCTCTCTTCCAGTCTTACATGTGACTTTTGGGACAATGAGGCTGAGAGTGCGCAAAGCATCTCAGCAGCTGATCCCTACCCCACCTGTCCGGACCACCAAGGCCAAGAGGAAACACTCCGAAGTGGAGCATACAAGGCCCTCAGGAGGAGCAAGGATGCAGAAGACTGACACTGGCATCTTCTCCACCATCAAGAGGTTCATTAGGGGCAATGCTGTCAAGGTCTGGAGCAGTCAGAACTATTTTTTTCATCACCACTCTTGTTTAGGGTGATACACATATATTATTACTGCTCAAAAATGAACTTGAGTATAAAGCAATTGGGTTAGTCTTTTTTTCCTTTAAGCTGTCCGGTAAGAATGATCAAACACATGCCCACTCGTTTCACTTGTTAGGTGGAGCAGTGTACCCCTGCTAAGAGGAGCCGTGTCGACTGTGACTCGGACAGTAACTTGATCACATCCACCCCACCCGCTGGGAACCTGCCCAGCAGAACTAACCCTAGAACTCGCAGGAAAGGTCCTGCCAATGGAGGTGAGTTGGAGAACAGTTTGACAGCATGCAACAAGTATTATGGCTCAAACAATGTCTTTGTATCTGAATGTATTTTCTTTGGGCATTGTATAATTGCTTTTAAAGTATGATTTGAAAATGTGTTTGCCCATGTAATAGCATATTTTAATTAATATACAGCTTCAGGTAATGGTTCGCTGTAAAACGTAACGATTTGCTGCACTTGTCCTCAGACACCATGGCCTGTGAAAGTAAACTAGTGAAGCCCAATGGAAAGCTAGAGGTGCAGACTGAAGCTCCTAGTAGTCCGCCTCGTACCACCCTTCTGGGAACCTTCTTTTCTCCTGTTTTTAACTTTTTCTCGCCAGCGAATAAAAATGGTAAGTTTTGATTTTGCTTTCATGTCACTGGTAAACGTTTTCAGCCTGCTGTTAGAAAGTTTTTCTTAACTGATGTTACCTTATAGGTAAGTTTACATTGCAGCTGGGAGGTAACTCTCTGCATGTGCTCTCCTTTCATATCAGTAACAGTACATTATGGGTAGGGTCAGTCCATGTCAAATCACAAGAAGAGAGGAGATTTCATCGTCTCAGAAATCTTGGAGCTGTTGCTTCAAACAATACAAAGCAGTATCAAATGCACATAAAATGTAAAAAAAAATGTTAATGGTGTAAAATTCAAATGTAAATTTGAATGAAACTATGCCACTTTCATTTTATGTTTTCTTTAAAAAGTGACTTATATTTGGAACTAAGTGTAGCTGTAATGGTCCTACAATTTAGAGGAATACAAGAAAGTCAAATCCTTATAATAAAGTTCTTGAAGTTTTCTGTTCGCTGTCCTCTAACAGCAAGTTGCAATACTGGTTGTTTCCAGCAGATGGCTGCTGATTACTAATTCTAAGTCTTAGTAAAACATTCACTCAAACATCTTGAAAATTAACTTATTAATGAACTCAGGAAGAAGAGTAGACCAATTTAGAATGTTTGTAAACATAGTGGTTGGCTATACTTCTGGGTGGATAACTTGCGTCCACACAGTATGGAAGCAGCTTAATTTACGGCCCAAATTACAGTAAATTCAAATATAGCAAAGTATTGGCAATAGTTGTAAAATCTTGTTTGTGGCTGTAATTTCAAATATACCCAAGTATGTAGTGGGTTTTACTTATGTTTTTCCTGTTTTCCAGCTTTTGTAAGCAGGTAGGGATGCAATAAATAGTATTAAACTTCGGGAGAATCCACTTCAGTGAAGCCAATGACAATTTAGCGAATCCTTTATTTTTCCAGATGAAGTTGCAAAGCACTATTACTTGTCTAATAAGTGCACTAGTCTGTAAACTAGGACATTATGTTAGAGTTATTTCTTTATAGTGTGTTTCACATAAGGTGGCATAAGATTTAAGAAGCTGGCAGAACAAGTGTTTTTGCATATTTTGTGATTCACACTGGACAGAAACTTTGAAGCTTTGTTTGATTCTACACATGATTGTCTGTGAATGTAGACATGTGAGTGCATGCACAGATGAGAGCAGTATATAGTTTCATATCAGCCAGCAAGGCAGCTAATTAGCCAAATCAGATGCTTTAGGGTGACATAAAATGACCGAAAGACCATTAATTGTAGTTATTATAAGCCGTTCCAGCCATCTTTCGTACAGGTGGGAAATGAACCAGAGTTGCATGTTCAGTTAGTACGTGTTTGGTTTTAGTTTTTTTGAATGTGCAATGGGAAAATTTCTTTACAAAGTGAATGCTTCTTTATTAAACACTTCAATGACATGAACTGTGGCTAAAAACATTCCATTAAAGTTATGACATGACTTTTTGTGTATTTTTATATACCAAAAACAGTCACTGTTACATGATCATTTATAGCCTCTCTTCACCTATAAGAATTAAACATACTGTTTTTGTTACTGTGTCTTTAAGACAGATATATTTAAATGAACTTCTTTCTGATTGGCTGCCCTGTACAAAGCATTATTCAAAAAGCAGCTCTGTCCAAAACACTGCCTATAACATCAGCGTGAATGTGCGCAACCAAACTGCTGTAGGCTAAATAGTTGGAAATATGTAAATATGTTGGTTTTTGTGACATCACAGAAACAATGAATTCAAAACACCCTGTTTTTGCAGCTTGTTTTCTAAATATGGACTACATAGGCTGGGGATTAAATTGTATGTTTTGAAACTTTAGTAATGTTTGTATGCTTTTTCAAACTGTTTTACTTCAAAAAAAGAGACACTATGGCCATTTTATAGAGATTATTACTGTAAAAAGATAAACAAGAGCCATGAACCCAAAGCTGTTGTTAATAAAATGAGACATCCTTAATCATAATAGCTGAATTGGCTGTAATATTTTTTTTTAAATTTCTTTATTGATATTCTATTTTCTTTGATTCCTATCTTGACAAATCACAGGGTCCAACATTACAGTTTGGAGCAGCAGGAATTGACATGGAATGACCTGGTAGCATCCTGAAGTGTGCTGAATTTTGTTTGATTACAACCAATCTAAGCTAAACATTTAAAATGTGAGGTTTATGTTTAGCATTGTGTCCATAATTTAGTGATGTTTGCTGTGCTTTAAATTTATCTGACCTTCTTCACAGCAAGCACTTGTACCTCATTTTCCCTTTGTTCATTAGCTACATCGGGCTCAGATTCTCCTGGGCAGGCAGTCGAGGCTGAGGAGATAGTGAAGCAGCTGGACATGGAACAGCTAGAGGAGACCCCCACTAGCACTACCACCGACGGTAGCAGAGACATCACCTTTGACCCAGCACTAAACACAAGACCTTTGCTGCCCACAGAAACAGCTGAGGAGGAGGGGGAGATTGCCACTGAGGCTGATATGCCTCCTTTGACAGGCAAGTGTTTCAAAATAATTAGCTCCTATTTAATTAGATGAATATTTCACAAGCACAGGAGCTTGACACTACTTAGCTCTTATGTGTCAGTGATATTTATATACCAGAACTTTATTTTTTCATCTTTCCTGGTAGCTGTTGGATCTAACAGCAATTACCCTGATGCCCCACCATCACCCCCAGCAGAAGGGACATATGAAGAAGACTGGGAGGTCTTTGATCCGTAAGTGGGAAAAGAGCAAAAGCAGAATCAACAAAAAATCTTGTGGTGCTCAGAATTGCCTATTGCTGCTTGTTTTTCTAATCTCTGTGATCTCCATAGTTATTTCTTCATTAAACATGTGCCACCACTGACTGAGGAGCAACTTACCCGTAAGCCAGCACTTCCACTCAAGACCAGGAGTACTCCAGAGTTCTCTCTCGTCCTGGATCTGGTGAGTATGGTTATTGAATATGTGCTCTGTCAGTGAAAGCAATTAAGCATTAGATAGGTTGTAAAATGATGTCATCCTTTTATTTGTAATGAATTTGTAAGGCTATGAATAAACCCGTTTGTTTTTTGTTTAGATCATGACATGACAGTTGTTATCAGAATATTTCTAATTATTTTAAATGTTCAGAGCACCTAGTAAAATCTGGAATGCTGAACTTATTTGCATATTTGTCATACTTGTGTTCGTTTTATTGCCAGATGCTCAGTTTGTTATAGAGACTTCAGAGTTTCACAAAACCTTGTCAATGAAATTGAAGTATTTATGACTTATTCTTGACTGTTTGCCGCTAGTGATGTGTCTTTTCTGAAAGAGAGCGACAGAATGATCAGTTCAATTTGTAAATTGTGTACCTCACATCCTTTCTTAGCATCAGGGCTGCATCTTACAATTACAGAGAAATTGTTGTTTTGCTTATAATAAATAAGGGGGAGAAGAATTTGTCCTGATTGCTTTTGGATGAACTTATTTTGCTGTAATTAAAACAAACTGTGTTTATCAACCTAATTGATAAACACAGAATGGTTGAGTTTGCATTCAGAATCTTGGAGGTGTTTCTAAACGCAGTTCTTTTTTTTTCTTTTTTTTGTTTTAGGATGAGACCTTGGTTCACTGCAGCCTAAATGAGCTGGAAGATGCAGCACTGACCTTCCCTGTGCTTTTCCAGGATGTCATTTACCAGGTATATTTACAAGATTTTATGTAAGAAGTGGTGTTGTACAGTGCCTCCACAAACATTGGCATCCCTGTTAATTATGAGCAAAATGAGCTGTAAAAAGTATTCGTAAATACTTATCGTTTGGATCTTTCATTAGAAAAAAAGTATAATCCCATTCATATTTTTTGTTTTAAAGTTCACCTGAGTGATAAGGAGCACTGGTCAATGGTCAGTCATGACATCCTGTTTCACTAGGGAATATATATGAGATGAAACTTACTCAGAATTCTGTCAGTCATCCATTACTATGAGAAAGACCAGAGAATACAGCAATGATGTATGATAAAAGGTTGTTGAGCTGTACAAATCAAATAAAAAATGGCAACAAGAAAATAGCTAAAATAGCTAGGTTGAAAATGCCCATTTCCACTATCAGGGCAATAATTAATTATATAAAAATAAAAAACAACTAATATTCTGTCAGGAAGAGGATGTATGTCTGTTATTATAGGAGGATGTTTAGAGTGGCAAATAATCTTCACACATGGAGAATTACAGAAATTAGTTAGGTCTTTGGGTCAGAATGTCTCTTAAACTGCAATCAAACACCACTTATATAACCACAAGTTCGGGGGGAGAGAGAAAGCTACTAGAAAGCTTCTGTTGTCAAGGACCAACAAAATCAAGCACCTACAGTACACCTACCAGGGGTGCCAATAATTGTAGAGGACACTAAATATACCATTAAAATACAAAGAATTTATCATTATTTGTGCGTAGCAAGTACCGAACATCATAAAGTTGAGTGTGATGTCTTGTACTTGGCCATCTTGTCCAGCTGTTATAAATTCTCCAGTTATATTGGAATTTCAAAAGTTATCCTACCAGCATTCCTATTTAAATTAGATGTTACCTAGAAAAAAATCTCAGCCAGTGCACCTTTATGGCCATATTATGACAGAATATATGGTAGACGTGTGTTCAGATATTTACGAGGTACAGTACTCTGCAAAGTCATGTGAGAAAATACATAAAGCTATTTATCCGGTCAGTAAGCATTTATTTGTTCAAGAAATGGTATCATTTATACTGGTAAAAAACTAATTTATTGCCAACATAAATAGTTTAAATAAATCATATTTATTTGTGTGTAATTTACAAAAAATAAAAACTGTGCAAAATACTCCACTGCAGGTGCATGTTATCTTTTAAGGAGTGTTTTATTTTACCTGCGTTTATTTCAGGTTTGTAATTGGTATTTTGTTGTGAATTTTGTGTGACACTATCCTTATTTACAAATGTTTCTCTATTTAAGGTATATGTCCGGTTGCGACCGTTCTTCAGAGAATTCCTGGAACGTATGTCCCAAATTTATGAGGTAGGTTCCATGATTGGATATACGAAGAGGTTTTACATGATTGAAAATACTAAAACAAGAATATTACTATTGATCAACCCGTTTTTTAAGAAAAATAGGGACATTAAGTAAGAGGTGAATTAATGTAATGTGAAGTCAAAGGTCATGCATAGATATACTTTAGACTGATCAATTAACTAATGAATTAACTACTTGATATCCACATGTCTCAGATTAAGTGTCCTTTGAGAACTATTTCTAGATTTGAAATTGAAATTGAACTCTCTCTCTTTTACAGATCATTCTTTTTACCGCTTCCAAGAAGGTTTATGCTGACAAGTTGTTGAACATTCTGGATCCTAAGAAACAGTTGGTTAGGTCAGTTTGTTTTCATTCAGGTTCATTTTCTTGGCCTACTTGTGACATCTGATTTTTATTTTTTTATTTTTATTTATTTATTTTTTTTAAATAAATATGTAGAAGCCTTGGGTTTAGGTGTGTCTTTTAGGTCTCAGCTACTACAGTTTTAAGTATGATAAGCATCCTTTCTGTTTTACGTTGTTAGGCACAGACTATTTCGTGAGCACTGTGTATGCGTCCAAGGAAACTACATCAAAGACTTGAACATACTTGGGAGGGATTTATCCAAGACCATAATAATTGACAACTCACCGCAAGCTTTTGCGTACCAGGTTGGTGTACTTGCTTGCTTATTTGTTTGTGTTTTTTGCTTGTTTGTTTGAGAATATTTGCCGCTCAAAATGTCTCTCATTGCAGCTGTCTAACGGGATCCCAATTGAGAGTTGGTTTGTGGACAAGAATGACAATGAGCTCCTCAAGCTGGTCCCGTTCTTGGAGAAGCTTGTGGAATTGGTAAGTAATGAGGTGTGTGTGCACGCAGGGTGTTATAATGCCTCATTTTTCCTATTGATTTATTGTTCCATGTCTTTGGTCCTCTTTTGCAGAATGAGGATGTTCGGCCTCACATAAGAGAGAAGTTTCGCTTGCATGACCTTTTGCCCCCGGATTGAGGTGTCTCAAGCTTGCAGACCAACTTGACTGTTTTAATAAATTGGAATTTTCAAAAGGGGCACGGAAGTATACGTAACTACAAACTCTAATGAGGATTTGAACTACAGATTTAGTTTTACCGGCTATGTTTTATGTGGAGATAGGGTGGGTTATCAACAAAGATTTTAAAGAAAATGACTTTCAAGTATGCATACATTTTATATAAACACTCAAATGTAATTGTAATTGAAGGAAAGAACAATTCCTCAGCTTTGACTGCCTGGCCTCTTGACAGATATTTGTATGTCTGGGCTCGGCAACAGAAGAGACTCTTAACAATATTTTTTTTCTTTTCCTTTACTGTTTTTCATTTTTGCCTAAATTGGACTGTATGTAAAGTGCTGTGGAGAAGAGGACTGATGTCACTCCTTTTGGTGCTCAAAGGGACACTCCGCCCTTACTAGCCATCGACTTTTCAACAGCAATGGCCAGTTAATTATGAATTCATAAACATATAAATATATATATACATATTCAGTTGTGTGTATATGTATATATAACATTTGTACATATGTATTTTCCTGTCAGGTTTGTAAAACGTTCCTTTCGCTCTTGAGTTCAACATGCATTCCTTTTAGTTGGAAGGCTTGTTTGATAGATATGCTGACTTTTTATTGATTTTTACTATAGGTTTGAAGTTTTATTTTTAAATGGCTTCTCTCTTATGCTTTATTTTCTAAATGCTTCTAGACTGGTTAAAAAAAAAAAAAAAAGTGAACATATCCCGTCACCTGTAAGATGCGTAGCATATTTGGGGTGGGATGGGAGGGTGTGAAAATAATGTAAATCAACTTTTTTTCCCCTGCCTCTTATGTATAATTGACTGATGGTAAGAATCAGTTTTGGTTTCTGATTGCTTTAGACTATTGACTCTGTTCATATGTTCTTGGGAGGGGGGTTAATGTTTTTATTCAATTGTTAGTTTGTTTTATATGCCAAGTATAGGTAAAATGTAAAATACTCTATGTGACTTCGATTGCTTTTCTGTGGAAATAATGCTTGGTCTCTTTATGAAATGTCTGGTAATTGTAGCACCAGCACATGGACTAGCCTAATCACTGCAAATGCGTCATATTCAGTGTTTTTCCTTAGCCAATTCAATCTTGCGTTTGAACTCAGTCCACTGTTTTAGGAATCATCGTGTACAATTCTACCTCTCTCTGATGGGTAGACCCTGCATTTCATTCAGTGTTACCCCAATGTTTTCTTTTCTATGGACATAATACATTATTTTTATGTATGAGTAAGCCTGAAATGTTTTAAATGGCATTGTCACACACGGCCTTGACTGTTATCCTTTTTTTCTTCTGAAAATGAATGTAGCTTGTGGATGACTTGTTTCAGACCTGCTCATCATGATTTGACTATATATTCCATGTCATTTTGCATAAAGAAATTTCACAGAAACGTTTTTAATAGGAAGTGCAGCAATGTGTCATTAGGTAGGGGGATTAAATTAGCTCTGAGTTGGAGGTATGTGCACCTGAGGTCAGGTTTTGGGTTCTTGTTGGATTAACATCAGCATCTTTCAAATGTTACAGTAGCTTTTCTTCTGGGAATGGGTTTACATCTTGAGCTGCTGAGCAGTGGTTTTGTATTCTCTGAACATGAATAGGAATTCAGTTTCAGGCCTGTCTTGAAGGTGTGTCTGTTTTAAGAGTTTTTTAAGCACATTTTTAGACTGCAAATGATGAATGATTGTAAACAGGCAGTTTTAATCAGGTGTAAAATTACCCAGCTACGTTTCTGTCCATCTGGTGGTGCTGTTGAGCAAAACATGGCTTAGAGCCAGTGAGTCTCAGCACCACAGTCTCAGAGGCAACTTTCTAACTTTGTACAGTTGAGTTGTCGGTGATGAGCTTGTACACAGACGTACCAAAGAGGGTAGAACATCATGGGATCTAATAACATTGTGTTAAAGGAGATCAACATTTTGACAAAAGATCTATTTCGGTTGTTGTGCAATAAATGCATGCAGGTTTAAAAGGGGAGTTTCTGTAAAAGATTTGCCCAGGTAGTCTAGTTTTGTAATGCAGCCAAGGGTACTAAACCCGTAAAGATTTTTAAATGTTTTTTTTTTTTTCCCTTTCTTTCTCTTGTTCAGAAGAGCCACGCACGCTTTTGAAAACTGTGGTTGTGTCTTATAATTTGAGAGTAAGGTCAAAAGTCAGTTTTGTTCTGTTTTGTTCTCCCAGATCAGTATGCTGACACTTTTCTAACAGTTAAAAAAAAACAAAACATTTCAATTATTTGGCAAAACGTCTGAATGCAACGCTTTTGATGTACCAACGTCCAGCAGTCTTCATATTGAGAGCTTCATGTTTACTTCTTAAGTTTGTCATATAAAAGTCCATTCGTTGTAAAAGTGTCAATGTATTTACTACAGATTCATGAAGTTATTTGCCTTAATGTCAAAAATGTCCTTTAAAAAGGTGTTCAAACCCCCCCCCCATTTTCTTTATAACTCGCCCTGTAAAAAATGGGAAAGATGGTTGAAACTGAATGGGGTGGACAGGTTACAAGTATAGCACTCTAGGATTCTAGTATAAAACTCCAAATCCTTTCTGGGACACTTTTTTAAAACTTAAAACTTTACTGTCGTTTCTGCCATATTACATAAAGGAATTCTTTAAACAACTTTAATTAAGTAACAGTCTCAATTTTTCTTTTTTTCGAACTTAGAAATGATCCAAGAGAATCTTAAGAGGCAAATCAATACTAATATTATAATAATGTTAATATTTGTGAGCCAACCTAAAAATCATGCCTTGCAAAAAGTAAGTGTAATGAAATTGTCTTTCTGTTTGTGTATAAACTGCTACGAAAAATCAAATGTAGTCATTTTACCAAAAAGCAATACGTTATTCACACCTTGGAACTGGAATAGCATAAATATCAGTGTGTCAGTTCTGTAGTAACATGCTTGGATTTTTAGCTTACAACTAAAACTTTCAATATTTGTATATCAGTTCAAGTCCACCCCAAATCAGCCTTTCAACCCTCTACATGGCAGCTCCCAAAATCGATTGTATTTTGGAAAAAAAACTCTTTTTCTGTTAGCTGCTCAGCTCCATGCTAAAAGCTCTGAGGCAGAGCCAAGGATCCAGCTTTTTATGGGCTCTAAGCTCTTTTAGTTTTTAAACTATGCTTTCTCAGTACCGTTCAAAATTCAGTTTGAAGTTAAAATGCTACTACTTGTTTTAAAAACATTGACGTTGAAATTGTAATTGAATTTGAAATCACTTGAATTGGTTTCTTACTACTGGAAATTTAACCATTACACATAAAAAGTAAGTTCAGTGATAAAATGAATATTATGTTATGTGAGAATTGTATTTGCACATAATTCAATTTCCAGCAAGACGTTTAACAATTTAATAATTAGAATTTCAGTGTGTTGAAATTTTACTTTTACGTGTGAAAACTGAATTACCACATTAGTCAAATTTGAATTTTGATCTGTTAAAATTCTACTTTTTACATATCAGTTTTTCTGGTCTAAAAAACATGTAACGTTCACATTTGTTCAAGCTGAGTTGCTGATATCATCACAGAAAAGAAAAAAAAAAGGCTGAAGATTAAAGGCTAGGAGCCCACAGACGGCAGGAGTTGAGCCTCAGAGCTCAGGGATGCTGTGCTGGGCTGCTCCTCCTCTCCACTCCTCTCCACTCGGCGGCGCTAATGCGCAGTGACTGGTCGTGCCGCGCGCCGCTGAGAGGAGCAGAGAAAGAAGAGGAGGCCTGTTTAATTTCACAGCCTTTTCGCTGCTAAGTTACCAGCCGTTACTCTCAGGAGTTCGGGCCGAGCTGACGGGAGGCGAAGAAAGAGTCCATGTCTAAAGATAACCGCCACGATGGTCGTCGACGTGGCGCTGGCCAGCAGCACCGCCTCGGGCCGAGAGGCGGGCAGAGCGGCGACGGGAGGGAGAGGTCAGGGAGTAATAGCTCCGGCTCCTCTCACGGAGGAGGAAAAGGGAGGAGTACGCCCATCAACATCGCCCTCAAGGTACGTTTCGGCTCCGCAGCCCGTTACAGTTTGACCGGGCGCAGCGCTGAGCGGCGACTTTTCCGCGTTCACTCGGGCTGCAGCTCTACTGCTGACCTGAAATGACGCTCAGCGCGCCGGCTGACCGAGCGGAGTTGTGTCCGTGGTGGAGGAGCTGGCTGACCAGGTGTTCGCTCCAGAACTGGGCGCTGTTGTCACGTAGCGCTTTCAGCGTCGCCCCACGCTGTTTATCTGTGACAGTGAAAGGCGTAGAACAGGTTTCACAGCCATAGTAAGACCCAGCAAGAAGGAGAAGTTGACTGCACTGAAAGAAACGCTCCAGGTGCTGCTTTGAGCTCATCACTGACACTGACAGGTGGGGGGGCTGAGTGAGGAGAGGGCCGGGGTCCAGCGCAGCTCTGTCTTTTCTCTGCTCCGAGACTTCATGTAAACCTGGCAGTAAAATGATGAGCTGAATCAGCTGTGTTTGTAGCAAAATCACCCAGAATGTGCAGGAATCCGACCCTCTCGAGTTCCCCACCCTTGACCTAGATACATGGATGACCATTGTTGATCTAAGCTTCAGACAGACGAATCAGACAGACTTCACATCTGCATAACAGATGCAAGAGGAAGAACACAGCGCTTCAGAAAGGCTGAAGCTGCTGAAGCATTTTTTTCCCATTTTCTCTTGATCTACTTTAGGCTTTTGAGGTAACAGTGCCCTCTGAAGTGGGTCAGGTGTTATGTTTATGCCAGTTTATAGTTGATGTACCAAAGAGGTGTTGAGTCAAAATCTGATTACGTCTTGATAAAGGCGCACACAATTTAAACTCCAGTCCTAGAACTAGTGGTGGCCTGTTGGTTTGTTTGTTTGTGTGTTATTTGTTGTTTGTTTGTTTTTGAAATTGAAGAAACTTTTATGCTTGTACTTTCAGTCAATGAAAAAGTGGAATTCGGTGTATTTTAGTATCATATCATATCATTGGTAGTTTTCATCATAAGTAAATAGTCACTAGTCAGTTGCCACCATGAATGACAGTTTTGTGATTTTTACAGATTATTACTAATAGCATGCTGGGAAAAATGGGAAACTAACGTCTAACATAAATGCAGTTTGCATAACTTTTACTAATTTCGTAGAGTTTTATCAGTGAATGGTGAACAGTGAGTGAAGTGTAATTAGTGCTGCACTGTACTGTGCAATTCAATCATAAATCAGTTTTATTTGAATGAGATTTGTTTAGATCTATATTTGTCAGTACTGGCACAGATTTTAAAAGAAAAAACTTCTTATCTGAAACAAGGCTACTTAATAAGTTGTCTTGTGTGCAATAAAGATCAGTCCTGTGCTGTGTATCTAATGATGTGCTCAGCCCCCGATTCAGTTCAATTCTTGATACTGAGTTCATGATTCTGTGTTCTTACGGTACTTTGAACAAAATTCAAATGAAGAAAAATGATGACTGTAATCATATTGTGGTAAAGCTTACTGGCAGGAGGCACAGGAGGGGCGCTGGAGTGAGCTGTTAGTTAGTGCTGATCATTTGCAAACTTTAGTGAATAAACAGTGCAATTGCATTACGTATCATAATTAATAAAACGTCTCTACAGTATCACAGTTTTTGCGTTGTGATCTCACAGTGTATTGTCGCACCTCACTCCGGTATTGATTTTAAAGTAACTCTGCTGTTTTTTTTGTATGCTCAGACACGTTACATTTCAAACATTTGGTAAAATTATTCACGAAGGTCGGAGTATGTCTGTTTCTTGTTTAGGTAAGCTTTTGTCTTTTCAGACTGAAGTCTTTGTTAATGTAGACTCTATTTATGTTTGTTTCCTTCCTTGCCAGCTGGGCCATATTAAGGAAGAAAGTAGTCTTAAGGAATCAAGAATTGTTGAACACTAAGCTTTAATACAGCAGCAATAAAGTGCTTCTGTATAATAACATATCTCTTGCTAAAGAATACAATATATATGTACATATTTTAAGCTTTCAAATTCAAAGGCTTCAGCTGAAGTATTTGTGCTGAAGATGTTACGGTGTAGAGTTTTGAGTAGATATACACTATATAGACAAAAGTATTAGGACACATACACATTGCACCTACAGGAGCTTTCATGACATCACATTTTAAATCCATAGGCATTAATATGGAGTTGGTCCCCCTTTGCAGCTATAACAGCTTCCACTCTTCTGGGAAGCTTTATACAAGACTTTGGAGTGTGTCTGTGGGGATTTTTGCCCATTTATTCAGAAGAGCATTTGTGAGGTCAGACACTGATGTTGGACAAGAACCTCTGCTCTACTTCATCTCAGTTAAGCTGGAACAGAAAAGGGCCTAACCCAAACTGTTTGCACAGAGTTGAAAGCAGACAATTGTCCAAAATATCTTGGTATTCTGAAGCATTAAGATTTCCCTTCACTAGAACTGGGCCGACCCCTGTAAAACAATCCCATAGCATTATCCCTCCTCCTTCAAACTTTACAGTTGGCACAATGCAGTCAGGCATCGTCATGCTTGGCATTGTGCATATTGAAGATAGGCTTGTGTGTAGCTGCTCGGCCATGGAAACCCAATGTCTGAAACTCCTAACACGCAGTTCTTCTGCTGATGTTGCTTCCAGAGACAATTTGGAGCTCGATAGTGGGTGATTCAACAGAGGATAGACACTGTGCGCTTCAGCACTTGCCAGCCCCACTCTGTGAGGATAGACACTCTGCCGCTTCGTGGCTGAGCTGTTGTTGCTCATACGTGCCTTGATTTCACAGTACTAGCACTTACATTTGAGGGGGGCTAATCTAGCAGGACAGAAATTTCACAAACTGACTTGTGGCGAAGGTGGCATCCTATGACAGTGCCATGTTTAAAGTCACAGAGCTCATCAGTACCACCTATTCTACTGCCAGTGTTTGTCTGTTGAGTCTGCAAGGCTGTGTGCTTGTATTTATCCACCTGCTATCAATCGGTGCAGATGAAACAACTGAACTTAAAAATTAGGAAGGGTGTCCCAATACTTTTGTCCATGTAGTGTATGTATACCATTGCTCATTCTTTGGAATTTAAGAAGGATCAGACTCCGCTGGTGAGCAGTTTAACCATTTTTACTATTTGAATATCTGAATTTTTAAATGCAAATATAGCATTTGAATATATTGGAAAACTTGTTATGGATAAAAAAAAGGGAAATGTAGAAGCTTTAACAATCATTTACTGTGTCCAGCTAGCATAATACATGGTCTTATCTGATCTTTCTTGCTTGAGTAATTTTTCTTTGTTGAACTGTGCAAAGTTATCATCTGTCATCTTTATAGTTTTTGCAGTAACTTGGTTAAAGTCAGTAACTTGATTTTAAAGACTTATTGATTAAAATTTACGTTCTTGGTAAATCAACTGATTAATAAGTTCTCAATTTGAATGATAAACAAGGTGTTCACAGGTCATCATAACCCACACCAGCAGGGTGTTTGTAGTTTCAAATTAATTGAAAATGAAAAAGTAAAGTAAAAATGAAATATTTGCTGTTACAAATGGTATGTATATGAAGTAAAATGTTTTGTTTAACTAGGTCTAGACTCAACAGGCCGACAGACAGCTAACAGGCTCCTCCAATAATACTATCCAGTTAGGTCAAAGAATTCATAGCAAAACATACAGAGTAAATAACATGTCCCCCGAGTGACTGTTAAAAGCTTCAAACAAGCTTGTTTAGGTAGAGCTAGCCTAAGTTGTATTAAGCCTTATGTGGGAAGTGAATGCATACCACTGATAATCAGGTACTAACATAACATTGAAGAACTAGATGAAACTAGCATTAACGGTGTGATATGGGCTACTTTTAAAGTAAAGATTTTTAGATTAAACTGCTGTATAATGATATGCACAGCTGTGACAAGTTCATGGAATGACTGACTCAAAACATCTTTATGGATTTCTCAGAAGTTCCCAAAAAGTGGCATTAGATGGCATTAGAATGACTTGAAATTTTTGATACCTACAGATACCGCTCTCTTTTATAATTACAATCTCTTAGTTGTACCTGTCTTGATCCAAATCTCTGAATGATAATTGCTTTCAGTAAGAATGAGGTGGAACGTTGTAACTGTTTGTGATCTATATCAGAGATGAGTTATTTAGCTATTAGGTTACATAAGCTGAATGATAATATTATGAACACTCAGTAATCTACTGTATAACAAGCCCTTCTTGAGTTTTTTTTTCACAAATACCGGAATTGGTATCTGAACTGCCAGTTATTCCAGGGGGCACTGTAAATGTTTAAATTATTTACTTTGAGTAAATCATGACTTTTTAATTGATTCCTTTGAGCGTATTGCCCTTAAAGGACCCATATCCTACATTGTTCTTGGATTTTTTTTTTCCAGAGGTCCATTATGGTGTTTGGTTGGGTTTATATACCAAACACAGCCGTCATTAATTTCCCAACCTTCTTTTTTATCATTTAGACATAGACAGGCTGTTTTTGTTACTGTGCCTTTATGACTGATATATGAGCTACTTTTTTGATTGGCTGCCCTCTGTTGCACCCCATTCAAAAAGCAGTCCAGGCTGAAACACTCTTTAAAACCTTAAGTATGAACGTGTGGGGCTAAACTACTGTAGGCTTAATAGGTGGACGTATGTACGCATGTTGGTTTTTATGACATCACAAAATCAGTGAATTGGAAAGACTGTTTTTGCAGCTTAATTTACATGTATCTACTGGAGGGTGAAGAACGTCTTTTAAAAGAGTGTTTATATGCTACATTAAACTCTTTCAGATGTCCTGCTGCAATATTTTAACTATTTTTTAAAATATGGATTTAAAATCAGGTGACCTTTTTTCTGCTGTCTTATCTGTTGCCTTTCTCTCTCTCTGTCTCTCATTTCGTCAGCATGGCTCTGTTTACATCCCGGGGTTTGGCATGAGTCACGCGCTGCGCTGCCGAGTCCAATCAGATGCGGAGGCTGTGTGTGTGTGTGTGTGTGTTGCAGGCACTTTGACAAGCACAGGCTGCA